TACTCTAAACCTGTCTAACAGGTGCAGCCTCAACCTCACAACCTGCTTGACCTCATCCCACACACACACACAATTGACTCACAGGTCCTGAGTGATGACCAAACATGGTGACGAAGACTACATCAAACGGCCTGAGGATGCATTCATCCTTTTCCAACACGAATCCTACTCACAGAATAATGAGGCAGAGGCAGCTGGTGGTGTAGTGGTTGGGACTGTAGAAATAGTGTATTATTTCCTATTTTTGTATTCTATAATTTAAATATAATTATATTTAATTAATTATTTGATATAAAATTGTATAGTAAGCAAAAGAAAGCTATTCAAACACTTGTAATGACTTGTAAGCATTATAAGCAGATATTATACTGTCACAAATTAATAAGTATGTCTTAACCTTGTAATTTAGGAAGTATATTATAATCACTTGTATAACTTGACAATTTACAAAATTATATTGGAAATTGCCAAGTTTTAAAAGTATTTTTTCTTGCTTATTTAACATTGTACTTTCCTTGCTTAACCCCCCAGGAAGATTATAAGTAATTGGACAAATTTTATAAAATATATAAAATATACAAGATTACAAGCAAGTATAATACTTAAGACTTTTTCATGATGTATCTACTATTTTTACCTTCTTTACAGAATGCTTGACAGTATCAGTTACATTGAATGTATGAGTATCTTTAATTCTTCTCTTTGTCTAGGCTTACTGTTAGTTTTAGTACACTGTAACACACAAAGACTAACTATAATAGTAGTATTTGTGAGCCACCTCTTACTTTCCAAGTTTGTATATACAAATCAGTACAAACAGTTATTTCTTATACTTTTTAATACCTAATAGAGAACAATCAATAACTAAGCATAATGTTAATACTAAGTATTATCAAGTTACAAGTACTTATTAATAGTATTGTTTCTAAGAGAGTAGATATACAATGTAAAAATTCTAGTAGTATTATAAAAATAAAATATTCAGTAAAAGAGAACCTTATAGTTTCTATTAAAGCTATACACTTTAGGAAGTTGAAAGTAAGGTTGAAAAAAGTGCTAATGTACATAATATAGGAATAGTACTTCTAAAACTACAGAAAGTTATTAAGTTTATTAAGTCAATCACTAATAAGTTTGAAGACATTGTTATAGACAAATGTCTAAGAAAGTTATTTATAAGGAGGGTTATGTAATAAGAGGCTAACATGTGTAACCTTGTACAAGGTTACACTCTTCCCTACTAGGAAGAAGAGAACTAGGGGAGAGAGTTTACTAATCCAGTAGTAAAAGGGTAAGTGAGTAAAGAGATAGAGAGAAAGAGTTAGATATGAGTAAGGTTAGAGAAGATATTAGAGGAAAGGAGTAGATTAGAATAGAAATTGAGAATGTTGTAATAATATTAGAAGGATTGTGTATATAGAGTGAAAATTGAGAATATTGTTATAAATATATAATCTTTTGTATTAAAGTAAGAGGAAGATAAGGAAAAGGAAAAGGATAATTTTTTTAAAAAGGAGGGAATTTACACTTGTAGAGTAGTCTGTAAGCTGTGTTTCTAACAATCTAGTACTTTACAGTCTTTAAGTTTGTATTTAGGTAGTTAATAATCTTCTCAACTTCTTACTCTTTAAAACTGTCTTCTG